TGGGTTGCTGTTAAGGAACTTAAATTAAGTTACCATAATGGGTATATATACTAAATAATAGGGTTTCCCCAATATGGTAACTTAATTTAAGTTCCTTAACAGCAACCCAGTAAAGGGCTTCTGGTTTCAGGGAGTTCGGGGTCAACTGAGACCCGCCAATTTTAGCCGTTCATCGTGTTGCGAAAGCAGTAAGGCAGGCAAGAAGTTCTGGTAGTTTCCCTAAACAAGGGGGACTCCAACATCGACCCAAAATATTATGATCCGTATTTATAGGGACCTTTCCAAAAAGGTACCTCAAAATCTGGGACACCCCCCTCTGTCATTTGCTTGAGAGATGCCTCCATGGGAGCTCTCTGACACTGAGGCTGGAGGTTGATGTCGGCTTCGGTGTTGAGGGATTGACAGTTAGGGGCTCGATGCAGGTGCAGTTGCAGGTTAAAACGCTGAGGGTAAAGTCATGAGACTTTTGTGAGGGGAGTCCTGCATAAAAGCTGTCGACGCTGTGAGGTCTCCAACGGGAGCGTGTCATCGTTTGCCTTCAGAGCCCCTTTAGCCGCTGTCGTATTAAGTGCGTGCTAGCCTAATTTGTCTTGAGAGAGTAGGGTGACATGATGCAAGATGGTATCCGGTGTAAACACCCACCGATCACCATTATGGAAGGCCTCCCTGTCTGCCTCACCAGGCAATGCCTGAGCGAGCCCCAAGCATCCCCTAGCATTTACGCCCTATTTGGGCCTTTTTGGGTCGGCATGGTAAGTGAGGGAGTACTTAGCCAGCTGCGACATGGCAATACTAAGTTTGCCCCAAGTCACAGGGGTCTTCGCCATCGTCGGCAGCGCCCGGGCCTCATCAGAAGCAAAGCTGAAAGAGTCGGGTGAAGGCTTAGCACTCCAGACTCCAGAGTTGAAGACTTTTGAGGGTTTTATCGGGTTGCTGTTAAGGAACCTAATTTGAGTTATACCCATTATGGTAACTGAAATTACTTTCCTTAGCAGCAACCCAGTTTAGGAGCTTGTGAGTTTAGGGCTTAGAGGCAAATCAAGGTTTTTGGATTTAGGATGTTGAAAGCCCGGTTTCTCAGGTTGCTGCGTGAAATTAAGCGCGATGGGTCGCCTGCATTTTTCACGCCCTTTACAATCCCTCAGAGGGGTTGTCTATGTTATCTTCTTGTAATATCTTAGTCGCCTTTAGGGTCTATTTGTCCACTTCTATCTTGTTATATATAAAGCAATTATTTAAACAATATAGATAATCCGAATAATTTGAATCAGTCGATTTGAATTAGTTAAAAATATTGAAGCCAGCTCATTTAGATTATTTAAAATAGCGGACTCCATGCAAATGATTAAATAGAGGCCGAGAATTTAAATAATTCAAACGACTTGATTTGAATTGTGAATTATTTTTGTTTATATTCTTTAAATTATGTAAATTATTGAAAATAATTCAGTAATTCACATTGTGCAAATTATTTAAGTTAACTTATTTCAATTATTTAGATTATTTGAATTACTTAATTATATTGCGGTTTAAACTATTTGAACTATTTTTAAAGTATTTAAACAATTACAACCATGTCATCCAAACTAAAATTCTAGGCTCCATAATCTTTTCACTTTATTTCTTACATTTTGTAATTTTCATCATCTGTTATAGTCATGTTCATCATCTTCTGCGATTTTTTCATTGTCATTTCACCATCATTGTTTATCAATTTACTTGAATCTTTTTTTCGCAATCTTTTATCACCGTTTTCACCCTTATCTTTATCATCTTTTATCATCCTTATTCACAATCATTTTCATCATCTTTTTATTTTCATGTTTCATCGCTATGTTAGTCATTTTCATCATCCTTATCATCTTTGTTCATCATTTTTATCATCTTCTATCATCTTTGTTCATCATCATCAGCTTTTACCATCCTTTTTCATCTTTTTCATCATTGGTTATCATCATTTCATCATTTTTATATCCTTGTTCATCATATTTTCTATTTTTTATATCATATTTCATCTTGTTCATACATTTGTTCTTTCTTATCTGATCGTCATGTGGTGTTATGTTTTACCTATTGTATTCATTATTTTCATATCAATATTAGTATATGCTACTTGTATATCATTTAAAGTTATTCTTACTATATTGAACATAACGATATTGTTTTCCAATCAATCTACTCCTCAATAATTGTGTGGTCTGTATTTATGCAACAAAAGGCACCCCAAAACATTGCAGTCCTTTTCAAGAGGTGGCTTCGTCTAAACCTTGCACCCTACACGGTTTATGGTCCCCCTTAAGTATGGGCTGTATGGGGATCTGATTAGAATATACCCAACGCCATATTCTATCTACTTCCAGGGGACTACAGGCTGTAGGGCTCCTTTGGCACATTTCTTTATCAACTCCGGGCTAGATCCTTGCGGGTACCCAGGCGGGCCTCAGGATTGACAACAGGCATTGAGATGCGTGGCCATGCCAGCTATTTCTTGAATCCTAGAGTTTCCCCTCAAGTAGATAGAATATGGAATTGCCCAGCATCATGACAAGACCCCCCTATACCCCATAATCCAGCTACTTAAGATTGGCTGTACCCTAAACCCCAAACTTCAAACCCCAAACCCCAAACCCTGAACCCTAAACCCGAATACTTAAACCCTAAACCCCGAAGCTGAGCAGACAGGCGGCCATGCTGTGTGGCTTCAAGCAGATGACGCTGGCATCAGCGGGGGGGCCTGGCATCTGATGCCCCCTCCCAGACTACCCTGAGTAGTCTAGAGTTTAGGGTTTAAGGTGTACCCCCTCCCGACTACCTTATTTGGACTACATTCTAAAAATTCCTAAAGGGGAGTTATATAGGGGGTTCTATAGAAGACCACTATTAAAGGGGATGCTAGGAGTTTAGATTATACCTTATTTGGAGGGTTCTACCTTGTTAGGAGGGTCCTGGGGACTCTGCAAGTAGTTTGCGGGTTAGGGTCAGGGGGACTTAGTAAGTAGGTTAATAATTGAGATAATTGGGATTGTTGCAGGGTTTATATGGGTTGTTAACCTACTTACGGATTCCCCCTGACCCTCCCCGTGCCCCACCCAAACTGCCTTACTTACCGGGGGTTAGTAGGGATAAGGGAATATGATATGGGTTTAGGGTTTAGGGTCGGAAATGGCGGAATATACTGTAGGGATTACATGCCTTTATGCCTACTAACCACCAGTAACGCAAGAAGAATGCATTACTGAAACCCAATGGCCCGTAGTTATCCCAATCCGTTCAGTTTCTGCATGTTGTGCTTTTAGCAGAAGGGCACCTCTTCGCTGTCCAGTTTCATACATCCAGAACCCTTCGATAGGTCCACCATATGTCCTCTCAAGCATTGTGCCCCCAACTTCAAGCCCCGTAACAACCATGGCGTGGTGGCGGTTACACTTACCTTTGGTTAGCTAGGAATGAAGGACGGGATCCTCATAGTAGTCCCTATGTAACCCATGATCGTACTTGCCATTTTCTTTTCCATTCCTTCATTTCCAGCTGACCAAAGGTAAGTACATCCGGGAACCCATGGCCTAAACCCTAAACCCTAAACCCTAAACCCTAAGCCTCATCCTCTTGCAGGTGCTCATTGTCGTGGAGTGCGTCAACGACTTGAGCCTGCCGGGCTGCAAGCAGTTGCCCCCCTCGACCTCCATATCACAGGTAACCCGAGGTTCACGATGAAACAAGGCTTTGCTTTTGTGGGGCTCCATCAGTATTGTGATGTGGGGGGGTAGAAAGAGGCATCCTTTTATGTGGGGAAGACTGAGTTGTGAGGAGCAGCCAGAGTGATGGCTAAACTTGGAGATTACGGGATAGGGCGTGCATAAACACACGCATAATACACTGGTACAGTTTTTGTGGCATCCTTGTCGCGGTTACGATGCGAATACTAACGGAACCTTTCAGAGGTCAATGCCGGTAGTATGAGCTCTATAATTTTTTAAACTTAGGCCCTTGATCTAGACTCAATATTTAGGTGGAGGTTGAGTACTGCCCCCACCCAGTAGCAGTCTATAGGATATTCTTAAGGGCTTTATGTAGCTGTTGCTGGGTTGGGGCCAGTAGGGTTTGGGAGGGGCAGGATATTGCAAACTCTTATTTGAATGATTTTGCACTGCCCAGAAAGTGCAATACCCCGTAGTAAAGGATGTAGCCTAACTGATACCAGGATCTTTTCGGGGAACCTCCTCATAGTCACTTCGTTGGGTCTTCTGATCTAAGCTGCCTATGGTGGGCCCTTAGGCCTCTTAGGGGAATTCTAGGTACCCTTACGGGTAGGTATATAAGAATCCCAGGGTTAAAGGGCCAAACTATAAACCCCAAAAACTAATGCATGGTTTCAAGCTTAGATCTGAGGGGCTTGATACATTCCAAGAAGCTTAAGCTGTCCGCCTGCGAGTGATTTTGCAGATCCCGCCGTTAGGCTGCCCCACAACGTAGGGTATACGTCTCTGCCCGCTGAGCTTTGGAATTAAACCCTGAACCATCAACCCCCAAACCCTAAACCCTTGAGTCTGTAGTCTCCACTCCTGAACGCCAGCATTCTCTTACCCAAGACCTGCTATTTGCTGGTGCATCAGGAGCAGTCCTGTAGGGTGCGTAGGGGAGTGGCGCCCAAAAATTCCAAACACCCCCCCACCCTCCCAAGAACATGGCCTATACATGCACAACCCCACTTTCCCAGAAAACTCAGTTGTATTATGGTATATTGTAGTATATTGGGTGCTCCCATTTACTTTTCCATTACACCGACGTAGCCGTAGATTAGCTTATAGTATCCCAATATTACCTCGATATACTAACATTCCATTATCCGGATATTAGCCCTAAACCCTAAACCCTAAACATCCCTAAACCTTACAACAGGCACCAGTTAGTCCAAGCTTCCGCTGGGCTGTGAGGCTTGGCGCCCATCCTCATGCTGGGCGTTGCCGTATCCATGGCGGCCACTCGAATTGAGGTTTAGGGTTTAGGGCCTAGGGCTTACGGTTTAGGTTTTAGGGTTTAGGACTTAGGGTTTAGGGTTTAGGATTTAGGGCTTAGGGTTTAGGGTGTAGGGTTTGGGTTTAGGGTTTAGGGCTCTGGGTTTAGGGTTTAGAGTGTTGAAGCATGTTGCTGTTCATCCTTCGTAAACCTTATATAATATTGTTCATCCTTCAGAAACCTTACATGCATAGACTATGGGCTGCTCCAAAGGAGCATGGAACTGTTTATACGTGTTCTCGTGAAATAGCGGTCTTCTCCCTCTTGCAATCCCCTCCCCCTGGTGTTAAAACCACCCACCCCTCAATATTATATGTCCCTACTGTGGTATATTAAAATATATAGGGAATGTGAAATACAAGGGGTAGAGGGTTCTGATGCTAGGGGGAATGAGTACGCTGATTCCCCCAGGCTGAAATTTGGAGAAGTCCTGTATCCCGTTGACCCATTTCACTTGCACAAGGCACAGCGCCTCGCGTGACCTGAATATTGGCTCAAAGGCACTAGTTCAGAATAGTGAACTATTCTGTTTTGACCAGGCACCATACCATAGTCGGGTAAGTCTCCGCACTCTTGACTCTTCTTCTTTCCTTTGACGTTTGAACATCCAGGAAAGTAATTTCGATCGCTGCCTAACGAACATCCAAAGCTGCGCAGAGATTCTTTCCAATGTGCCAAGAACCCAAACAAGAGCATGTTGCAAAGTGATCTGTAATTCTGGGACATCTCATTTCTCCTACAATCCTCTTCTTTTGTACCTTTACTCGATGCTTGGGTCCTACCCAGGTAAATTGGGCGATGAACGAGCGCGGCCATGACGAGGAGGCCGCATAAGATATGTATGCATAAGTTACAATGGAAATGTTGATACTCAGGCTTACTGGCGTGCGCGTACGGGATTGACTTCTTGGAAAGCTTAGGCCATCACATGCCCAAATCCATCCAAGAAACTTTCCAGAACATGCCCTATCCAGCTCCAATCACCTTACATCCAAGACCTCGAAAGGTGAGCAAGTAGCATCAATCATGCTGATTCCATGTTTCAACTTTTCGGTTGCTTGCTGCAACCTACGTTTCAGGTGATCCACCGTCGCCAGCTTCCGTTCCTCGAGGGGGAGCCTCCGCGCGCCCTCGACAGCCAGGCGTGCGGAACGAGTTGACGTGAAGTTCAATACATGCAATAACAATCATAGAATAGAAATACAGCACTATAACGAAAATACAAGGACTGTTCCCATATATGTTTGTATAGTAAAGCAATGATGGTACTTCCCATTTTGGATCATACACGCCGCGCAGACGTTCGGATGTGAGATTTAGACTGGAACCCCAAATTTCAAATGTCGCGCTCCCAACCCTGAGGCCTTCGATGCCCCGAGAAAGGTTAGGGGGCCTGGTTCCAGCCCTAAACGCGTACTATGATTGCAACAATTACAATTACTATTAATCCTATTTCTTTTATTACAAATACTATTATCACTGGACCGCTTGGTTCCAGCCTCACACCGGACAGGTCGCCCTTGACCTCTGCCCAGCTTTGCCGGACGACGCTGTGATGCCGCCGGGCTGCTGTAGGGGTGCTGAGAGGTAGAGGGAGAAGGGTTCAGTGTTGTGCAAAGCTTTCTCTGGATGAGTACGTGCTAGTATAGCTCGTCATTGTTTGGACGAGGTTTAGGATTCAGGGTTTAGGGTTCGACAGGGTTCACAGGTAAGATCCCACTTCAAGGTCCCACCTCCTCTTTCCACAGGCACCTGAAGGTCAGGGATGAGTGGTTTTGAGAATTAGAAAGCTGGAGTTGTGTGGTTGTAGTCTTGTGCGGGATGGAAGCACGCACTAGGAATTGCAAGTGCGCAAGAGAGATTCCTTTTGGACTTGAGGGAGCTGTTTCAAAACGAATCCTTTATATTGGGCTCCTCCATAATCCTCTCTCTATACCGTCCCCAGATTCCGATGCCAAGACAGCAGAAGCCGTCGGAGGAAACTGCAGTGTGCTCCATTCCCCCATCTTCCATCAACGAAGCGGAGAGACTGAAAGCGCTCCCTCTCATAAGGATACATGCTACAAAGGGTTGTTTTTGAGTTGCCGTGCTAGTTTTAGGGTTTAAGGCTAAAGACGTAGGGTTGAAGGTTTCAGGTTTAGTTTCGAGGTTCCGGGGTTGATTAGGGTGTGTGGTTTAGGGAGTAAATCTGCCTTGGGACTAAAGCTCCAAACCCAACACCATTCCAAGTGCAAGGCCGCCCGAGGCGACTTTGCTCCAGGCCATCCCTGCAATGGATCACACGGTTTCGGGTTTAGGGCTCAGGCGGTCCCTTCTTACAAATGGTGACCCCAAGGGATAGTGGCAGTTATCTCCAAGGGTCCTTGTTTCAACTCTCATTATGACACTAGAGTGAGCAGGGGAGTGATCCACGGTTACGGGGCTCTATGGATGCTGTCAGAATGATGGTTGTGTTTTTGGGGGCCCGCCACCGCCAATGTATAGGAGAATTCCCAGAATGTCCACGGCCGTGTGCTCAAATTCGGAGCCCGGTTTACGGTTTAGGGTTTAGCCCTTTCAGGAGTGACCTCCTCTGAGGAGATCCCATTATTGAAGACGCCCTTCATGTTGGAAGCTACCAAAGAACAAGCCCTTGTTAGGTTGATTTGGGTAACCCTAAACCCTGAGCCTTGAATCCTAAGCCCTACACCCTAAATCCTGAGCCCTAAACCCTAAATCCTGAGCCCTACACCCTAAGCCCTAAATCCTGAGCCCTAAACCCTAAACGCTAAATCCTTAGCAATACGCACTAAACCTGAGCCTTAGTGTTGGCAAGCATTTTCATGCATAGTGATGTCAGGTGCAGCGAGCCCTGGAGCATCATGATGTGCACTACTTCCCCGTACGGGCTGCAGCCTCAGGGTTTGGGTTTAGCGTTGAGGGTTTAGATTTAAGGGTTCAGGGTTCAGGGTTTGGGGCTTAGGCTTGAGGGTTTAGGGTTTTGATTCTAAGCCACATGACACCGAAACCTAGGTGTTTGAGCTCCAAACCCCACCCTGAACTTTAAACCCCAAGCCCGAAACCGCAAACTAAACAAAAAACAACCCGCTACACCCTGATTGCTTGGGCGGCTCAGCCTGGGTAAGTGGTGCACAGAGGCGTAGGATGAGGGAGGAGGAGGGCTCAAGCTTTGAATCTTTTGGGTTTGAGGGGCTTTGGCTAGAGTACTTGGACGAATCATAGGGTTATGTATATATATATACATATGTAAAAAATATACCTGCTGTTTAGTGGTATATGGGAATGGCAAGGAACATCGAAACTTCTATTTAGGGTTCAACTCAAGCATCAAACTGCAAGGCTAGGCAAGCTGCAAACCGGAAAGCCACAGACGCCATCCCAAGTTTGCATGTTAATGGCGTATATAACCACTCTATAATCCCTATAATCCCTATGGCTTCTATTTTCTTCTCCATTATCCCCAATTTACCCCTATGTATTCCATATTGGTGGTGTCCCAACCTGAGGGAATCTTATTCACATACTCGGTATCCCCCCTGCCGCACGGAACCTCCAATCCTGAGCCCCACGCGTCTTAGTGAGAGTTGTAATAATAGCAATAATGGTAATAATAGTAATGACAGCCACAAATTGAATTGGCGTACTGCGGAGGGTCCAATCAAAACGGAAGAATCCTCGAACGTGCTCCCTGCACACGAATCCAAACTCCTGCGCTCAGTCAGAATCCTGTGGCACAGCACTGCTTTGAGATGACGAGTCCTGTGGGACTTCCGAACATGATTCCTGAACCCAAGTGTAGGGTTTAAGGGTGTAGGGTCTAGGACCCTGCGTATTGCCAGGAAACCCAATCCCCAAACATTGCCGAAACACAACCTTATAATGCCTAGACTGCAGCCGCTGAATCCTGAAAACTAACCAGGTGTCCTAAACAAAGCACCCTAAACCTTGTCTTAGAGTTGGGCTTCCGCAAGCCCTACTCACTGAACTTTGCAAGCTTTGCAGGACGGTCTTGGCCCTTGCCTGGGCATCATCACCCGGAGCCAGCTGGACCCTGCCTGGCGTCGGGTAGAATGCATTTCAGGTCCATGACTGCTTAGGTCTCGGGCCAGCGGGGTATGTAAGGCTCCATGGGCTTCACCACATAAGAGCTACAGTCTAAACTCCTAGTATTCCCCTTAATAGCCCCTATAATAGTCCCTTATAAATCCCCTATATAGCCCCCTTTACGGAGTTTAGATTATGGCTCATAAGATGTTGGAAACTCTACCAAATCCCGACTGAAGGGCTGATCTTCTGCCACATTGCCGACCAACAACTTTGAGCCAAGCAGTTTGCACCACTTTCGGCATGCAAGTTCCGTGGGCATCACGCCAGGTAGTGTGCTTTGTGGGGATCAAGAGGGTCTCCATTTCAATTTGAGTCTTGATTTCCAATTTAATTTCCATGTTGCTTTCAATTTTAACTTCCAAATACAGCCAGCATGCAGGAGACCCTGGTGAGTCCGTCAAGACCTTTCGCGAGCTTTGCGGCCCAGGCCGGCCAGTTACAAGCGCCCGGCCACATTCTTTTAAGGGTTTAGGGCTTGGGGTTTATAGGGCTTAGGCTTTTTTCCAGATTTACGGGCTTGGGGCTTGGTTTGGGGTTTTCGGTTTCGGGTCTGGGCTTGGTTTTTTGGTTTCTTTTTTTGGGGGGCTGTAGGGTTTAGGCCCGCGAGTGGGATCTTGGGCCGGTGAGGTGTTTTTCAGAGATGCTGGGCTTGAGGTGCTTCTGTCCGTGCAAACATGTCCAGAAGCTAGCACTTCATCGTCCCCAAGCAATTAGATGGTAGGGTCTGGCATGTCCCCAATGGCAGCCAGAGGATGGCTCTCCAAGTCCTCCTGTTTTGCAGTTAAGTGTCTAGGGCTCAGGGTTTGGGGTTCATTGATACCAAGTATTCCTATCAGGGCTGCAGTCTGGGCTGTAAGGACATGCTTCGTCTGGAGTAGAAGCATCAAAGGCGCCCGCTGCAGTACGACGAAGGTGATCGTTTTTGTGAATACTGAAGCCACCCTCCTCCCCTAAAACATCACAGGCATTATATAAAGAAATTGTATACATCGTATCTTATTCATGTATATGTGAAACGGGTAAGATGTAGTGCTGGCGGGCTGAGGCGTTTATTGCTTGTGGGAAGTTTAATCAATCATGAATCTTAAGATAAGCCCCCCAAACCCCAATAGGAATGGCCCCTAATATGGGCAATCACCTCAAGCCTTGTAGGGAGACTCTAGGGACCCGCAAGGGTACATACAGGTTCTATAGTAGGCAAATAAGGATTCCAGGATTAAGGGCCCATACTAGGGGCCCATGGCTTCAACCTTAGAAGGAAAGGCAATCCCACCATGGCAGGGTGAGCACCTGTTCCTCGACACGGACTTGCCCACTGACGAGGGCGCGTTGCTTCCCATCCACCGGATTATGGCACCTGGGATGCAGTAGGGGAATTGCCCTTCGCGGTTTGAGGCTTCAGGTGCGGGACCTCGGCTTTTGGGGTTTATAGGGGGTCTAGGGCAGAAACTTGGATGTTCAGGGAATCTTTCTGCAATCATTATCAGACAATGTACAGCCTGGAGTCCTGCTGTACTGACTCAGCAATTTGGGCTTTTCACGGAACGCTTCAACCTTTCAGGTTGCCGGCGCAGGTTTAAAAAGTCGGTGAGCTCCGTTTTCCACAGCTCACGTTGAAATTCATAAGGCTGCAGGGAAGCCGTCCGGAATATCTGTTTTCAATAGGTTACCCTGAGCAGTCCGTGACAGCCCCCACACAACAGCAGACTTTTCCTTAGCGTGTTAACCTACATCGCTTTGCCTGATACTTGGGGCCGCTAGATTGCTGGCATGATTCTGCAAGCACTTTCACGTGTCATGATTTAGCCGAGGACCCCACTCCATTCGCCATAGTCGAGGACCGTTGCCACAGTTGTTTGCAGAGTTTGTTGGGAAAAACCTTGCGGGTTTGTATCGGTCACGCTGATAAATCCTACAGTCTTGTACAATTTCTGGATGGCATTCGTCCCTTCCAATATGTCTACCCAGGGTTCGGAAGCTCTATTAGGTCTATTTCCAAAAGCCTCATGAGGCAGGCCGTTTTGGGGCATGGTAGATCCAAATAGCATGTGTCACGAAGGCGTACTTCCTCATTGGCCAAAGTAGATGAGGCCTTTGAGGGGCAGACAGGCCAAGTTGTCTCCCCTTTGGGGTGTCGTGGTTAGCTGTTTAATTTTGATGCGACGCAAAAAAATCGGAAACGCACAGTTGAGCTGCTTGCACCCAGATACCTAAGCACTTCATGAGTGAAGGACCTTGAAGACAATTGAGAGGACATGCCTGTGCCGCGACTCTACGCACTCTTTGCAAAGGCGACGGGGCTTTCGGGCATGGGGTCCTGGTTTATGCTACGCATCAGATGAGTCTAACCCCTAAACATCCCTAAGCCCTAAACCCTAGGATGGGATGGTTGGGGTCTGCAACATCCCCGCCTATCAAGTTTCCTACCTTGGCCTTGGGAAGGCCAGGACTGGTACCTTGCTTTTGGCGGCCTGAGCCAACGGTAACCCATATGACCGCTGAGTCATAGCAGGATGATGCAGCGCTGCGTGCATTAGCAGACTGCTTGACTGTTAGACCGACTTCTAAGACCCCCAAAAGGTTCCAAATAATGGACCCCCCCCCCCTCCCAAATATGAACTCATTACTACATTGGGGAAACTAGGGGATTATTAAAGGGTTCCATGTTTTTGGATCCTTTAGGGGGTCTGGGGACTTGTTTATGAAAGGCCGTGGCTACAGTCTGAGGACTCCGCAGTCTAGATGGCCTCAGCTAGAGCAGAACTCTACAGCCCCAAACCCCAAACTCAGCTCTTCCTGCTAGTCATGGTCTCGTGAACACTAGCCCAGATGAATTAACTCCGTCCAAGGCTATGTCTCAACTTTTACCAGGTGCTTGGACTTTTAAAACAAGAAGTGTTTCCGTTTGGTTCAGAGGTTCGAGGCAGTAGTTGGGAGTACCTTGGGGTTCGGACTCAAGGTGGCTGTCGCATGAGGGCTGAAGACTCCAGACTGACCGAAGGGGTCTTCGAACACCAGTGCATGACAGGCCGGCGAGCGCGCTGCTTGCGTGACCTCCATACGCCGCTTCGTCTAACCTAGCCCAATCTCCGAGAATTAGAAATAATAGTAATAATAATAGGGATAATATTATGGTTATATTGGGGTTAATATGGGGATAATGGAAAATAAAATGGAAACTACTATTATAGGCAGCACCCCCTGGCACGCGTGGTTATTGAAGGTGCCGGGCACCGATGTAATGATTATCGTTTTTGGATGGTAATCTAGCCAGTCAAGGGTATCTCAAGAGAGAAGGTAACGTGTGGAGGTAAAAAGGCTGCTGGCTCGGGCACATGCCAGCATGATAGGAACATGCCAACATGCTTCTATGAGCTTTAGCCCGTACGGGTGGGGTGGGGGGGGTAAGGGAGATCAGCACTGGAGCTCCTCCTGAGGCTTTGTTTTACCTTTCCAAGCCTAGCAACGAAGGTCACCCAACAGCAAATTTTGTGCCCAGATGGAACTACCGGATAGCTATGATTATATATGGGGTTGTGCCACATACCAGAAATCCGTTGAAGCTTTCCAAAAACAACAACAGCCTTAGGTCACTGGTCAGGATACCTTTCAGAAGGATCTTGCATAGTTGGCGTGTGCAAGGGGAACGCGATCTTGGGACATATTCATGTTTTCAACAAACCCTAGACCCTAAACCGTATACCATAGATCCGAGAACCTAAACCCTATACCCTCATCCCTAAAGCCCAGATAACCATGCGCCCAACAACCCTCAAGCCCGCACTGTCATGCCACCAATCTCAGGCGGCGACTTCCGGGGCATCCTGTCCCGTGATCATTTGATCGCTGCAGTTCGGAAGGTAACTTAAAAAGGAGCTGCGAGAAGCTGCTGTGGGATGTCTTACTGGTGGTTAGTAGGGAATAAGATTACATGTCCTTATCCCCTACTAACTGACTTGAAGCGGTAGGGTGAGGCCAAGATTCTAGCTGTACATCAGAGACACTGTCAAACCATTTCGGGGTGGCCGGCTGGGCTCAAGGAAGCGCAGCAATGAGCATCCAGCCATTTCCATTGCGCTTTCGCTCGCCCTTACGCGGCACCAGGAGCAATGAGTGAAGTCTTGACAGCAGCAATCAAGACCCTGGGCCCAATCCCTGAAAAGTCTACCTCAATCACCTGCCCCTACTAAGCTCATCCCACTGACAATAGCAAAATCCACCCTAAAAAATATGTAATTATATGTGTGCAAACTACTTCTATGGTGAGGGTACATGTTCTTAGAGCGTGGTAGGGTTGTTTTTAGGGCAGGGGATTAGTTCCTACTGCACTTCTGCGTCTTCCTCCGGAGCCCCACGGCCCAAAAAGGAGCCTTCCTGCTATGACTATGATTGAGCTGGGTGACAGGGATGGGCCATGGGGTAGCCGGAGTGGTTCAACGTTTGAGGTTTTACAGTGAAGGATTTCCTTGCAATCAGTTCTCCTGCAGTCCTCCACCTCATGACATCAGACTGAAGGTATCAAGGAACATGGGAGCCTGTACTTGCCAGGACTTAGGTTGGTCACTAATTCACAAAAAAACAAAAAGGTGCTAAGGGTAACAGTGTCGCCGATGCAGGAGGCATACTGGAGCGCTTCTGGTTGCTGGGCTCCTGCTGCTTCCGCTGATGAGCGAGCTGACCATGTTCACGACGATGAAGGCCAATGCCACAAACTTTGCACCCTTGACGAGCGGCGAGCTCGCATCGATGGTGAAGAGCCACCTGAATCTGGGTTGCTGTTAAGGAATTTAAATTAAGATGCTATATCGGGGTAACCTCGTTGTTTCCCATATATATACCCATTATGGTACCCTAATTCAAGTTCCTTAACAGCAGCCCAGGAATCTGTGCAAAGATGCGGGCGTCTACCAAGATGCCCTTGGGGACCTGCTGGCAAAGACGGCACACACCACCCACAAGAACTGGCCGGAGACCGAAGATGCCTCGCTGCAACTGGCGGACATCATCGCCGGTCCCGATGATCCGATTTTCAAGCAAGTCTTCCAACGTGTGCTTGAAGGATGGGCCATTTTTTGGACGGGGTAACAAAGGGTTTGGAGAGGGAGGTTGGGTGAGCGCTCTAGGCCATTCAGAGCAATCTCCGCTGTGAACTCACAGTCATGGCAGTGGTTTGTGATACTCTGACGAGTTCAGTTCGCCGTCTATTCCCATGAATTACACTCTATAGGTTCCTTGCCCTCCCATAAGCTGCTCACTTCCTACTTCCACTCGTACATGTTCTACTATCGGTCTTACCTTTGCGCGCCCTCAACCTGAATTCCCAACCTCCAACCAACCCAAGACCACGAACTGTTTTTTAGGGTTAAGGGTTTAGGGTTTAGGGAAAGGAAATGGAAACTAGTGTAAGACTGGGGATCATTGAAGGCCTTCTGTAGGGATCCATTCCTCCATTCCCTGCCATCAACCCCTAAGTCTTCGAGCTAAGAGGTTTAGGGTTTCGAGGTTTAGGGCTTTGGGTTTAGGGAACCTTGATTTCAATCTCCAACTACAAGGTAGACGGAACACTGAACCCTAAAGGGTATATTTTCTGTTTGGTTCTTTCAGGCCCTACAGACCCCCAACCCAACAAGGAGTGGAAGTCCATTTTGAAGGAAGCCCTTCTTGCAAACCTTACCCTGAACCCTACATGGCCCTAAATGCTAAACCCTAAAATAGAAGTTTCCTTTCTTGCATCCTTTCTATTGTAACAACCAGTAAGCCTCAGATAACCCCCAGACTGCCCCAACCTCCATTTCCTTAGGCTCTCCTTTCCCTAAGCAGCAAAATCTCAACCCCAAGCTGAGAGACCTAAACCCTTCAAACTGAAAACCCTAAACCTGAAACTCTAAACCCCAGACTCTAAGCCCTAAACCTAAAGCCTGAACTCTGAACCCCAAACTCTAAGCCCTAAAGCCTAAACTCTAAACCCTATAAACTCTAAGCCCTAAACTCTCAGCCCTAAACCCTGAACTCCATTATTTCGACAAGAAGGAGGCGGCTGGGACCAGGCTGTAACAGCGGCCGCCTCGCGAGGAGCAGACTCAAAGCCCTGGGCAGTGCTGGTCACGGGGCTGACCCCTGGATCTTTTAAGGAGTTAGGGGTGTGGAGTTTAGGTTTCGGGGCGGAGAGTATATGGAGTCCGTTTGGGGCTTCCTCAATTCTTGAAGGGGGATGGTTTAAGGCCGGGGGTTCTAGGAGGTCGGGGCTGAGGGTCTTAGTCTAGGGTTTAGGGCTCGGTATAAACCCTGAAGCCATAGAGTCCCCGATGCAGAAGCCCCAACATAGCAGGAGCCCTAAACCCTATAAACCCTAAACTCCAAATAACAGAAGCCACAGCTTTGGCATTACCAGGTTTGAAGAATCGAGCTATGCATGTTTCGCAAGTTCAAAGAAAAGTGCAAGACGTTCTTTTTGATGGTCGCCTTCATGGGCATTTCTCAAAGCTACGGTCCCTAGATGTACCCCTTCCGCATTGGACCCCAAGCTCGTGCTCCTAATCCCAATCCCTATACAGTCCCCCTTACGTAGATAGAACATGGGGTAGTATATGGGGATCTTATAATATACCAAAAGCCATATTCTATCTACTTAAGGGGAACTGTAAGCCCTAAACCATGAACACATCCTAACACCTAAGCACAAAACCCTATATCCCATACTTGAAGCCCAAAGTCCTATACACCCACAACCCTACATCCAAAGCCAGGAATGGGATCCGCAAGACCTCTTCGCTGTATGAGCCTTGGTTCCAAGAGGTGCTCGCAGAGGCGATGGGCATCAAGAGTGATGACCCCAAAGTTGTGGACTTACCCTGTGGTGCCTTTGCGCAGCCTTGTATAGGAGTTTTTTGGGGGGATTAGGGTTGAAGATTTAGTGTTTTGCATGGTCTTGAGGAAGTTCACGCTTGGAACAGCTGGATAAGAGGGATTATATCAGGGTCCTCTGATATTCCTATTATACCACTATTACAGGGTGAGGGTCCTCCTAATTTCTGTGAGCGACATAAACTCCTAGTATCCCCCTGAATACCCTTATAATTGTCTTTATATAATCCTCATATAATCCCTTTTAGGAGTTTAGACTATTTGGCTCATATGATTGCGAGTGCCCAGGCGCAAACAGCTTCTTCCGGCAGCTGGATTTCATGGTCGCCACCCTCGCGAACGAGGCAGGCCTTGAACTCCCTGAGTGTATCAAAGCGGAGGTTAGGTGGTTGAGGGTTGAGGGTTTAGGATCTAGGGTTTAGGGTTCAGGGTGTAGGGTTCAGGGTTTAGGGTTTAGAGTGTAGGGTTTAGGGCTTTTGGTTTGTAATAAAGACCACCCCCCATCACCCCGCTGAACACGTAAACTCATTATACATAGGTGGGGAGTATATCTATGATGAAGCCGGGGGGGAGTAAGCCGTAATGCCTAAACCCTTTACATCCATCTACTCCAGTCTAGCTGCTACAGGCGGTACACTCCCCAAACTAACATGGAAACCCAAATAGCCCCCCTTTAAAAGGACTGTAGTCTTTATAGGGCTCCTTTTGGGTTTCCATGTTAGTTTCCGGGAGGGTACCCCTCAGTCATCCCTAAGCAAGCCACAGCGGAGCGCTCTGGAGCGAGGACTTCCGCAAGCTTTACACCATCTCTGAGGTCGATGATTACGCAGCTGCTAAGGACCGACTTGCCGCCCCTAATATAACCCCAATATAACCCTAATATAACCCCAATATAACCCTAATATAACCCTAATATGACCCCAATATAACCCCAATATAACCCTAATATACTGAAAATCAACGCCCACCACCATCCTCAGTTTAATATGAATATACATGCTAGTTTTCCTAAATAGGAGGACCCCAATGTAGACCCCCAAAATACTATCATCCTTGTTAAGGGACCCCTAATTTCGGAAGATCCCCATATAGTCATTATTTGAAGGGCTCAGAGAAAGCTCACATGAGGGTGGGTGGTTCTTCGGCTTCTCTAGTCAATTACAATGCGGGCATTGGGTTTCATGAGACGCTTTGCTTTTACACCTGGCACCTCTTCAGCTTGATTCCATGTCAGAGAGGGGATTCTGGGGGCTTATGCCTACAGGCTTCTGGGACGTAAGATATGAGCAACAACATATGTGGCCATGCAACACGTTTTCAAAACAAGCAGAGAACTACCCAGGAGCACTACAGAAAGCTGAACCTACCCAACGAAAGTGTTGATCCCCTCCCATAATAATCTGACTACATCAACTCCTGAAGATGAAAGCAACAGGAGGCAATCTTCGCGCGATACCGAAAAATCTCGGAGATGCTGGGGCTCCTTCTCGTGCGCGAGGCAAGGAAGAGGAAGGTCCGGGGCTCAGTCAAGCGCTTTGAGGGATGGGAGCTTTGGCATGGTTTTGGGGTTTAGAGTTTAGGTTTGGCAAGGTTTTGAGTTTAGGCTTTGGGGTGTGAAGTTTAAGGCTTGGTGGTGATGGGGCGTTGGTCCGTGATGGCATTGAGGTTTCTCGTTGGCATGTCCTGGGCGTCAGATCTTTGAGGCAGGGGTTGTAGTCGTTCTGGGTACATTACGTCATTCACTTTAGTTCCTACATAGTCCTACCGTCCCGAGTGGGTTCCCATGACATGAGATACTCCCAGGTGAACGTCATGGCCGAAACCAGTGGTCGGGACCTGGCGATGTACGAATATATCGACTTCGCATTCCCGGAAGGGTGCCCCTATGAGAATTGAGGTGGAACATGGAAGCCATGATTTCCCTCAAAAATCGTCTAATCCCCCTAGGCCTCTACACTCTAACTCTAGTTTATGAATTTGGAACGGATCCCTTAAGTGTGCAGTGTTTTTTCACTCGCTAGTCTTACCCCTTGGTCTGGCTGGCGGATCAAAGGGCCCTTACGGTTGGAGGCATTAGGTAGGATTAGGGCAGAGTGAGAATGCGCATATGAGCTATAGTCTAAACTCCTTACGAGGGGCTATATAGGGGAGAGTAGTATAGGGGCTATTAAGGGCTCCTGAAAGGGGGGCTATATAGGGGATTATAAGGGGGAGTACTATAGGGGCTATTAAGGGGGACTCTAGGAGTTTAGACTGTTGCTCATAAAGGGGTGTATGGAATGGTCCCAGAGCATTGCTCCTAGGTACAATAAGTTGGTCATGCACTTCGAGATCAATGACGTGGAGTTTGCTGAGCAGTCGGTGGCACGGCGGATGCAGGGGGAGACTTGGTCCTTCTTCGACCGTCTTTGTTGAAGATGACTTGCTTAAGGGACAGTGGGGAGTGGATCCCTATAATAATCCTTGTACATTCCCCATACATGCCCCTATAATGGTACCTACATTCACTCCCCCACTCCCCCTTAAGCACCAGTAGTTTTGGAGATGACTTGCGTAAGTCAGGGAAGGTTATGATCTTCATCTTAACAGGCAAGCTGTTCTTGAAATTTGTAGGTATTGAAACACAATGGAACACAAGCATCGCGGGCTGCTGTTAAGTTTGAGAGGGTACCCCAGAGAAGCTCATCATGTGATTGCTGCAGACAAGTCACTAAAAACGAGTCAGCTTCTCGAAGAGGGTGAGTACAACCTAAAGCACGCGCACCCCATAATACCCCTACAGCCTCTTGGAAGGGACCCCTGGAGAGCTAAACCCGAAATCCTGAAATGGACAGGGCCTTCCATGGATACCTTCTGTTCCTTTCTATTCCCCGAGTCCTCAGAAACAAGGTGTGGTTCCAAGCCACAAGCGCTCTTATCATGAGCCCTAGCGCCGTTCTCGAGTCCCTCAGCCGTCACTAGGTATAGCGGTATGCCCTTAAACAGAGAAGCACAGGTGAGTATGCAACATTGCAAGCGATAGTTAGAAAAGGAATGAGAGCAGAATACAAAATCGTTGTGGCAGCTAGTAACAAGAGCTAACATAATGATTGATGATGGCTTGTAGAAAGCGACCACCTGAGAGCATTCGGCGTTTCAAGGGTTTTGGCTTATGGCCTTTGAAAGCGTTCTCCTGCATCGCCATGCTTAGGTAGTTGAAGCCCGGAATTGAGGTAACCCTAAGCTGAACCTGAATCATCTGAAGCAAAGTAATAATGTCATTTACATTGTCGACTTGAGGGCCAGCGCCACAACATTCAATCCGCAAAGGCCACCCAAGAAAGCCCTAAAAGTCTACCAATCTAAGTCCAGAAACCCCATATCTCAACGACCCTGCAACTCTAGACTACAAATTTGCTTGCAAGTCCCGAAATCCAAAACCTTCAAAAAGCGAAGGAGATGGCGGCGGGTACAGGAGCTCTGGCGCAGCTGAAGTCAGGTGAGACACCGGAGACCAGCGCCGCGCTCGTTGCTGCCAACGCAGGCTGACTAAACTGTAGTCTTCTTAAGAAAGTATTCTGTACCATGGTATGGAGTTATTCCGAATAGCATTTCTTTTAGGTCTAAGGGGTCCATAGTAGAAATGCAAAGGCTAGCCCCAAAGCTGTAAACCCTGAAGCTCTAAGCCCCCAACTATACGCCTTCAACCCAAGCAACCTAAGCCATGACAGGTGGGCCCTATGGGCCAGAAGTGCTCCGCGGCGTGCAGACTGCCAGCGACAAGGTTTTCCAGGATCCGCTAACTTGCTGCTTGTTAGTCAGTCTAGGGATTTAGGGTTTAGGGTGAGTAGGGAATGAAGGAATCGAAAACAACATGGAAATAAATCTATTGTTGAGGGCTATACATGGGGCTACTCTAGGAAGCCAACCCTCCACTCCAATACTGGGATCCGCTCCTCCATTCCATACTAACAGCCGGTAAGTCAAGGGCTTTTACGCGGGTACCTGCTCAAGAGTTTTTGTGGGGATGTACTGGGCCGACCTTGAGGCTTGAGGTATAATTTCAAAGTGCTTTACGGGGATGTAGCGGGCGTCTTCTTTTCCATGCCGATACTATTCTTTCTATTATTACCATTATTACTATCATTACCATTCAATTCCTTACTAGCAGCCGGCGGGAGAGTCCGCCACAGCCGTCTGTCAGGAGGTCTGGGGCCCGGACGGCAAAGGCGAGGGTCGACCGGGCTGGCAAATGGCCCGGATCCAGGTCTCATGAGTTTCCGAAATGTCGAGTTTTGTGGGTTGCAAAGGGAAGACGGGTGTGACCGGAAGCCTCAAGGCATCACTCTGTTTGCTAACCCTAAACCCTAACCCCCAACCTAAAACCCAAGCGTCTGCCCGTCCAGGTTACAGCCTCCAAAGACGGCGACTGGACCGTCAAAGCGCACGGCAGCGCCACAGAGCATGCTTTTTCCCGGCGGCCCTAGTGGAAAAAGGGGCTTGTGTGGCCTAGGGGACCTCAGTTGGCAGGTAATATGGGGATGGTGGAGAATCAAATGGAAAAGAACATGGAACATGACATGGAACCTAGGATTATCAGGTTTATAGGGGGTATATTGGGGTTATATAAGGTTGTCTTCATCCACGTCCAGTGCTCCAACCAGCACCCTATTTTAAGAACTCTGAACCTGAAACCCCCAACCCAGCCCTCAACTCACTGGCACTTAAGGGACAGTGGGCAAGTGGATCCCTAAAATATTCCCTACATACCCCAATAATGTAGCCCTAGATTCATTCCCCTCAATCCCCCAAAAGCACTATCAACCTGAAACCCTGCGATGATGGTTTGGGAAGGCTACCGCAGCACAGCAACAGCTCAGCGAGCGCAAGGACAGCCTGGAGCAGGCCTGTCCCGATGGCATTGGATCTGGTACAATGATAGTGGCTACATAGTGGTTCACATAAGGGTATAGGGATAGTGGAAAAGAACATGGAGCCTTCTAGTGTTTCCTTCATTAGTATGATTGTGATTGCCATAGTTGCTGTCATTATTGCTATTCATGAGATCTTTGTTGCGGTTCATGATTTCTGAGGCTTTTGGAACCCTAAACCCTAAACCCCAGCAGGTAGGTCTGAAGGAGCCAGGTCTTTGAACATGATGTTTCAAAAGCTTAGCTTCAGCTTTCCAACTTCCAGTCTGTGCAAAAATCCGTAATGCTCCTGTGTGAAACCCGGTAAAAACCGTACGAAATCCCCAAAACCAGTCGTAGAAAGCCGGGATTCTTCTTGTCCTCCAAAAACCAGTTGTTTGTATGATTGTTTTAAAGCAGTACCTGCTTCAAAATTATACGTTTTGTCGGGTGTAAGTACTGGTATAAGGGGCGTTCGCAAAAGGTGTTGCTGACATGGTTACCCTTGGTCTACCTATGTCCCATCAAGTATGCAGACATGGAGGATATGAAGCGCTACTTCTTGCACTCCTTCTTCTACTTGTCCTGCAACGCTTACTACGCTTACCTACATCTGAAAAGTAGGTAAAAGAATTGCTCCAACGCCTTTTAAGATAGCCCAAAAGGGCCATTATTCTAGGTACATTTGGGGGTCCAGTTATTACCTCTATGCAACTTTCAGGGCATCCATCCCATCAGCCTTGAACCCGCGAGGAGCTCGCACGGCTCACTGCCGAATGCGATGCTGAGCGCAGGGAGCTGGAGAGGCGGATCCAGGCGGGCTTTCAAAGGTATTGGTGCCCTTACCCTAAGTAGGCCCCTGAAATATTTAATATTTTCCCTAATGGCTTTAATAAGGGACCCTATATACTAATGTTTTTCAAAGGGCTTTAGGGGCCAACCCAGTACCCAAAAGCCTAAACCCTCAACCCTAGGGGCTCCCAAAACGGGACCCTTAATTCAGCTTTTTTAGGCCTATAGAACGAGAAGGAGGCACCCTATCGGGAGACGAGAGCTGCCCGCATATAGTGCAGATGGCTTGTACAACGTTTTAAACGCGACGGCGAGTGCATCAATAGTCATCTGTAGCACAAATTCAGGTTATCCTCAGGTTATCCCACCCCTACTGAAAACATTCGATACTTCTGATTGGGACTTATTGTTCACTTATGACATTCTTCTTATTATCACTATTCCCGTTTCTGCCACCATCCCCAAGATTAGCATCACCACCACTATTTCGCTCATCATCATTACTATTCTTGCAATTATTTCTGTTGTTGCTTAGCCCTAAGCCCTAAATCCTGAGGCCCTAAACCTTAAACCCTAAATAGTAGTTTCCATTTTATTTTCCACTATCCCGATATAACCCCAAAATCTATGTAATCCCTATATTTTCCATTTTCGTTTCCATTCCGAAACCCTAAACCCTATATATATATACACATAATATATATATACATATTTATATGTCCAACGTGTTTGGAAGGGCAAGGCCATCAAGGCTGGCACCCAAGCCTCCAGCCAAACATGTTAAGTTTTCCTTGCGCAAGGTATCGGGGCTTGCCTTATCAAAGCCCACATAATTCTTACATGATTCCCTTGCGATTTTATAGGAAAAGATGGCTCAGGACTTACTAACTTCTAAGGCCCGTGCAGAAAAAAAGAGGCAAACCAAACCACATGACGACGTCAGTGCACCGTGCTTCGAGGCCGAGAAAGCCAGCTGCGATAGCCTCCGCCAGGCGTCGCATTCGCGGCATATTTTTTCCCCGAACATGGGTTCTTGCAGCTCCTGATGTGTACTCAGAATACTGTAGACCTCATGATGGGCATTGCCAATCAAGGGACCTTTGCTTGTTGAGAATTTCAAATGGTGAACATCCCGCAGCCCGTAGTAGTGCATATGCCTCGCAATATATCTATATACATGTGCGGGTTTCTGACCGGGGTATTCAATATTAAGGGGTTGAAGGGCTAATAACAATCCAAGGGGACTGGATGGTTTCTTTCCATGGCCAGAAGGAGGCTTGTTGAGCGTTTCAGGGTCTCAGGATTACGGGTTGAGGGGCTCAGCCTGATGTGTTTTTGAGGTCTTGGGTCTGTAAGGCTTGGATGTTTTTTGTGGAGAACGCAGTGTCCTTACTCCTTGAGGTCTCCCGATTTTGAAAGCCCCCTACTAAATAGACATAGATACACCCCCCATAAGTCCTGTTTTGGAAGGACAGTGGTAATTGTAATTGTCTTTGTGGGCTTCCCTGTTAGACTAGAGGAGGGTATGTTCCACGTTGCCGTCAATGTCTTCAAAGAGTTGTACCCCCAAACCCTAAAGTGCCTTTCCAGGAACAGGTCTGACTGAGTCTGACTTTTGCAAGACAGCCTGCGGGTGCCAGGGATATATTGGTGAGTGAGCGTTTCCTTGACGCAAAGCGTTTGAAGCTAGAAAATGTCAATCTGAGCAGTGTCTCCCAGATTATAATATAGTAGTTTCCATTTTCTTTTCCATTATCCCAATATAACCCAGTATATTCCCATATTATCATATAGTAGTTTAAGATCAACGCCCAAGCCATCGACCCCTCCCCGCTTCATCCTAAGACCCTCTATCCTTGCTCAATCCAGATGAACTAGGTACCCCAGGAGTGCCCTTTTCCCTTTCTATTTTGGGTGGTTCCCAAAGCTTTTCAGCAGCAGGAGACGGAAAGGCTTCGTCAAGAGCAGGCGACATCATACAAGGCCAGTCAGGGCGATGAACGGGTCGGGGCTTTATTATATTATGGGTTTAGGGTTTAGGGTTTAGGGTTATTATTCAAACTAGCAGGCTTTAGGGACCCCAGGATTACATACACATACACCTACATATCCTTACATATGCCATAACAGGGTCCCTATCAAGGGTGCAAGTGGGGTGCTTTTGAGAACTTCCATATATCGGGTTGCAAAGTCCCGAAGTCCCGAACAACTAGACTGACGTGTTACACCATTATATGATGCAGTGATACTGTGACTCTGAGGGCAAAGATCTGTCATCATACAGTTTTTCACCCTAATTCGCCCTAAATTGTAACTTCCCAAAATAGGGGACCCCAATATAGACCCCAATATACTATACTCCTTATGATGGGGACCCCCTAATCAGGTACCCCTAATTTTGGGAACCCTAAACCCTAAACCCTAATTCGCCCTAAATCTTACTACACACCCCAAAAAGAGTTAACTTTGCAAGAGGGAGGGCTAGATTTTGCCAGGCCGCCATGGAGGTCCCCTCGGAACAGCTGCTGTCCCTTGAGGCCGTGCAATCCCATGGGATTATATAAGGATTATATAGGGGTATATAGGGTCGTATAGGGATTATACAGGGGTGTGTAGGGGTATGTGGGGCCCTAAACCCTTGTTTTGCTGTCCCTGCCCAGGGCTCCATTTCTGAGATCCAGCACACAGCAGACCTTGAGCTCTCCAGCCTGGGGCTGAGATGTAGGTTCAGGGTTTAGGAGCAGGTTTAGGGTGTCGGGGTTAGGGTAAAGATCTTGCTGTTGGCTAGTAGGGAATGAAGGAATGGCATACCGGGACTCTGATTTCAGGTTAGAACGGCACGCTGCAGTTGGAGGTGTGCGTGTTGTGCGTGTTCCTTGCTTTCAGGCAACTGTTGCAAATCGGAGTTCTACAACAACCTCTGTTAGCTAGCTCCGCGGGAGAAACTCCTGTCTTTAGCTTTCTGGTTCTTGGCCCCATCGGCCTGTAACGGCGCAAAAATTGCGTCCTCGCTTGAGCCCATTTTTGCTGGCCCTCGCAGTATTTGGCGCACATTCCAAGGCTTGGAAGCACGCGAAGTGCTGGTGCCGTCAGCAATTCTGTGTTTCAGGAAAATGTACGA